TCAAGTTAGAGGGTGACTGCATTCAATTTCAATTTCATTCCAATTCATTTTTCACCGGTAGTTTCAACCGCTCTTATCTATGGAATTTTAGGGTATAACCTACCAAAATGATGCCTGACGAGTAGCTACCGCCACATAACGCGATATCAGTTGGATTTATTCAATTTTGCTGCGATCAAAGTAGGATAATAAAAGAATAAGTTTTTGGCGTCAATCAATTTCGTCTGAGGGATGCGCCCCCGCACTGGACTTCCATTTAGAATCGTAGTGACGTAATGAGTGCGTATGTGGCCTATACAATGAATTGCGGTGGCTAGTTGATGTACAAGTCAGTGATTTTGTCCTCCCAGACGATCTGGTACCAATTACCGACCTCAGAAGGATGGAAGATTCGGTTGACGTGGGCTGATATCGATCCGGGATCCTATCCCGTGACCGTGCGAATGAGTTAGTGCGCCACTTGCCATCTCACCACCTACGCCCTTGCGATCGAAGTACTAGCGAAAACTATAGTCTTTGGGTCAAGATGGCTGGCTTATTCGGTGGTTTTAAAAGAAACCCGTGTCCCATGTGAAACTACCTCAAGAACCACCGCAGTCATTTTGCAGTGCTGCTGACTAAGTAAACTTTTCATCACTATCAAAGCCTTACTAGTTGTTGTTGCTACGGTGGATGACGACTCAGTTTCTTTCGTAGTTCCTGTGGATTTCGTCGATCCTGCTGCCGATGTTGTCTTTCCTGTATCGTTACTTATAGTTGTCTTTGGAGGAGTTGCAGTTTCTGCTGTTAAAGTTATCTTTCCAGATTCAAAAGTTGTATACCTGTCCCAGAAATTGGATTTGCCTTTGAAGGAGCCGATGTTCCTGGTGCAGGAGTTGTTGGAGTAGTAGTTGCTGAAAGTATGAATGTGTAGTGAATACTGAATGAGATAAGTAGCAAGCATTCTTCAAATATCACAAAAATGGTGGGAAACCTACTAGGAATAGTGGTTGTATCGTCGGTATAGCTACAAAGTCCTTGCCGAAATCCTGATGTCAGACAAACATAGCCTTTTACTACACTCGAACAATCTTCGGTAGTACTGCATCCATTCGAATTAGGATTAGCTATGTATATCGGTTCGCCCCACTGCGGTCTAAAAGTGAGATAAAAATATTCGCTGTATTGATTAGAAATGGTGAACACCTTTGATCTCGTATTCGACATAATTCTCAGTAAGGGCAGCTGATGGCTAATAAACATACACACATGTAGGGAAAGATTCTAAAACGTTTTCCACCATGCTGCAAGTTTGTTGATTTTTTTGACCGAAAGTGTTCAAAGACGGTTCTCGCGTGCTGGGCGGGAAATGAGCCCAAAGCTGGATGAGAAGATCGTCTATGAGTATATCAATTCCGTTCAAGGCACGCTTCGCGCTTGAAATGGTTCCGAGATTTCTCCTTCAGATGAACCCGTGTGCCTCAAAAGTGGCTTAAGGAATCTGTCGGATCGAAAACGGACAAGATAGGGCGTAAAAAGAGCACCAAAAAGCGGCGCAGCCGAAGCACACACCCAAAACAGACGAGTTTTTAAGAGACGAGGGCGAGTTTTTAAGCGCTTTAAAAGCTGTAGAGGTTGCACCATTCGCACTGGATCCACACCTTGCACGCAGGTAGCTTCCTGCAGTCAGCTGTATGCAGTGACGAACACATGTGAACAGCTGGTCTGAATACAACTTCCATACAACTTCTGTTGTCACACTCTCGTCCAACCCCTGATTTTACCATTTCTTAAACATTCTATTTCTGTGAATACGCAAATTTTTACGTTTTCTTCGCCAGGTTCAGGTTCTAATTCGAACTGCATCGGATAGCAGTGACACTTCCTCTCATCATATATATATTTATTACATGACGTGGGTCATGTGACATAATCAGTTACCAAAAAAAA